TAAAAAGTTTTGTTTTATTTCTAGCGAAATGTGATTGAAACACTGAGGAAAAGAACAAGATGCGAAGGATACCAGTGTTGATTTCACTCAATTCAAAGATGAGTCCAAAGAGTAGTGCTTTGAGCGTAGTAATATAGATATATAGTTATCCCAGAATAGACAAAACTGAACTGCTGCTGCTTGTTTACAGCAAGGGACGAGCTTTTTGAACAAAGCATTTGAAGCGCCCGCAAAACGTCAAGCACCTCCACTCTTATTCAGCAAACACTAAATATGTCGTTCCGCTGATGACAAGATGTTGAATAAGTGCACCATAAGACGAATAAGCGTTAAGAGAAACTTCCCTTAGTGGGATCGAAATTCAACATAAAGTTCCACATGACATATATCAAAACGAAAAGCAGATGAAGCATTCCCAGGGGTGGCAGTCTGCGCCGAACTGTCTCCTCTTTGCGTCAGGAAGGCGCACTGATCATTCATCAACCAAATGACAAACGGAGAAGTGACAACTTTAGATAAATCGTTCTCAAAACAAAATGAGCATATCTTAAGCTTCTCTTGAAGAAAAATCAACTAATTTTCAGATCGAGGAACCTCAAGCTCTAAGCAACGCAATGTTCGAGAAGCAAATCGGAGGCAACAGAAAACTGGAACTATCTAGGAGGCAGGCATGTACGTCCGCACACGTTTGAATAAGCTAATCGACGAAGAGCGCTAAGTGTCCGCAATCGCTCGAACAGGCGAAGTGGAAATTTACATTAGGGTAATTTCCAACATCAGAGTGCCTCTCGCGTTGCCATTAAGTCGTGATATAAGAGCGGAAGACACTTATATTCTAGCAAAACATGATGAGCAGTTTCATAACCAAAGAGATACCATCTACGGCTGACTCACATTGCCGCATCATGTTCTAAAGAATGACAAACTTATGAACATCCACCCGTCATTAGCGACAAACAGGTGTAAGCTATTTGTATGCAGATGACGTTATTTGTACGCAGATGATTTCACAAGAAACGCAGAAAAAAAAGTTGCCGTTATGAATGAGCGAAATACACAACGCCCTACAAACCAGTTTAGGTCTTTAATGGAG